ACGTATGTTTCTATGTAGTGTCCTTCTCTTGTGTACTTCTGTTCCTATAGGGCCTCTCCTGGGGCACGAGCCCTTGGTGTTTTACGCGTGTTCCTATGTATTGCCCCCTTCTCTTGTGGCTCCACTCCGCAATGCTTTATGCACGTCCGTTGCTATATGTTGGGCCTCTCCTGGGGCACGACTCCTCCCTATAGGAGGTCCCCGGAGGCCCCAGGGTGCCCCTAAGAGGCTCTCGGAGGCCCCCAGGAAGCCCCCAGCAGGTTTCGGGAGGCCCCAGGAGGCCCCAGGAGGACCCAGGCTCGTGCGCAGAGACGCGCTCGTACTGCCGAGGCTCGTTTACACTCCAGTTCATTCCCAGTCAGATTCGTGGCCAGACCGTCACGGCTGAAGCCCGTTTACATTCGAAAGCTCTTGCGCCCAGACATGCACGGCGGACAGGCTCATGCGAATAGATGCACATATGGGGAGCTCCACGCAGTGAAAAATTCTAGACGCTTCGCGTATCCCCACCAGCCCTTGTCCCCAGTCAGTCTGTGGTACCCGTCAGGCTCCCTGGATCGGTGTCCTCGGGAACTCTCAATGCTGGACGGCCTTCCGCCGTGACCCTGGATCAGTGGCTTTGAGGGACATGCCTAGGTATTCGCGGTTCGCCCTCGTGTGCTCTCCGACGCGTTCTGGACAGCACTGAGACACTGTGATGTGCACACGCCGCGTTTCGACCGTGTAGCGTGCACTAAGGCGCCTTTCCACCCGCTGGGTCTGGGCTGAAGCATCTCGGTGTGGACGTTTCTTGGCAACATGCTCCGCACTTTGGATGCCATCCTGGCGTCGCGGCTCGTTGCCGCCGTCGGGATCCCGCTGGACTTACGTCTCCAGTCGGTCTATGCTACCCGCCAGGCTTTGGTTCTACGTCCTCGGGAACGTTCTTCTCGTTCGCACCTGGACTTTGGGAACGCCTCTCGCGCCATTTTGGCTGCGCTTGGTCTCCTCGGTGCCTACCTCAGGCCCGTTGGACGCACCGTTTCATGCCCGTTCAGGGGCTGTCTCTGGCTCCTGGATTGCATCGGCTCCGCCGCCCTGGACGCTGTCGTGAGCCGCCTGATCCGCGGCCCCGCGCGCGTTAGGTAATTTAGTCGCGGCCGCGGCCCGCCCGCGACCTCCCGCCGCTGGCGCTTCCGCCTGCGGCTGTAAAACAAGTATCTCCACCAGCCCGTCCAGAAACGACGCCCAGGCGAGTAGAGGGTCGTCCTGAGGGGCTTTTCGGCGTCTTGGGTGCCTCGGGGGGGCCTCTGTGGGCCGTTCGGGATCCTCTTTGGGGCCTCCTGGGGGCCTCTTGGGGCCTCTTGGGGCCATCTTGGGGCCTTTGGGGGCCTCCTGGGCGCTTCTTGGGGCCATCTTTGCCCCTTCAGAAGGCCAACATGGGGCCCAAACCATAGTAAAAAGGCCTCTTGGAGCACCTTGGGTGCCTCTGGGGGGTCGCTTGGGGCCTCTTGGGGGTCTCTGGGGGGCCTCCTGGGGGCCTCTTGGGGGGCCTCTTGGGGCCATCTTGGGGCCATCCTGCGGCCTCTTGGGGCATCCTGGGGGCCTCTTGGGGCATGTTGGAGGGGATATGGCAAAGAAAGCGGAAGCACTAATTAGCGTCGCTCCTGGAAAGCTTTTAAAATCGCCTCCTGAACCGCTCTTGGAGGGCTCTTGGAGCGCTCTTGGGCGCTCTTTGCGCCGTCTTCGGGCTTTCTTGGGCCCTCCTTGGAGCTATCTTGAGCCATCTTGGAGCTATCTTGACGCCTCGGGTGGGCATCGGAAGCGAAAGCGCGAGAACGCCAAAAACATTGATTTTCCCTAGGGTTTTGAAACATTTTGGCTTCTTGGGGGCATCCGAGGGGAGCTCTAGTGGACACTTAGAGCCGTCTTGGGGCGGTCTTGGAGCGTCTTGGAGCATCTTCGGAACCATCTTGAGGCATCTTGCGCTATCTTGAACCATCTTGGAGGCGATCTTGGGCTCCCTGAGGCCCTCTTGAAGTCGTCTTGGCTCATCTTGGACGCTCCAACGCGTCGCGGCCCCCCCTGTCCAGTGGGGGAGGGATAAACCCCTCCCCGAAGGGGAAGAAGGAGGGGTGGAAGAGGAAACGCTCTAAACCACCGACGCCCAGATTTTTTTTTTTTTTTTTTTTTTGTTTTGTTTTGTTTTTGTTTTTTCTACTTCTTTCTCTCTCTCTCTCTCGATCTTTTTTTGTTTGTTCTTATCTTTCTCTCTCTATCATGCTTCCTTCATTGGCTACAATTGCGTGGTCTTTGGATGCAGACTGTGCCAATTGGCCCGTGTGAAGTTCACTCACACTGCCATTGATCGCTCTCCCAGGCCACGTTTCATTACTTCGTCGACCTCGTTTTGCTCATCCCAGTCACTGGCAAGAATTCCGTGACAGGTCGTTCGCGGGACTCCAACGTCTAGCGAATCTGAGATGTTTGGTCAGTGTCTCGAAGTTTTGTTGTGCTCCTGTTAGTCTGTTTGCGTTTCTGTTGTGTGTCTCCCTCGCGCTGGGCGGCGTCGCTCTCTGCCACCTGTTGCTTTTCCCTCCCCCCCCTTCTCCTTCCCCCCTTTTCCTCCCTGCACCTGTCCAACATGAATGCGTCCATCCTGTCTCCCCTGATGCTGCGCGAGCGGTGCGCCGCCTCTCCCGCATACTTTGCCTGTGCGCACGGGATTTCACCAGTTCTCGGTGCTACTCTGATCGGGACGTTCTGGTTTTTTTTCGGAGCGGTGCCCCTGCTGCAGCGCTGGCCCCGATCCAGGACTTGCGCTCTGGCCCCGCCCCCCCCCCCCCACCTTGCTCAGAGCGGCGCTCTCGCTCGTGCGTGGGCCACGCACTGGGATCCGATTCCTGCCTCGTCGTTGCCGCCCCCCCTCCTCTTCTCCCTCCTCCGCCTGGCTCTGCAGCCCAGGGCCGAACTGAGGAACGGCTTGGTTTCGGCAGGGGCCCATGTGCTCCTCAGGTTCTCCCGTGGCTGTTTCTCCAGCGCTCCTCGTCCACGCATGTGCTCTTGGGGCCCAAAGGGGCTTGCGTTAGGTCGGGCATGTCAACCTACCGGCGGATTTTGGGCGAAAAGTTAAAAAATCCCCCAAGAATCAAGACGAGTCAAACAATAGCAAACAAAATCGTCCCCAGGCTATTTTTTGACTATGTTTGGGTATTCCTCCTGTAGAGGGACAGTCCCGACTTAAGGCTAGCGTTCCTCACTCAGCGCTCCTCACGCCAGCAGCCCGACGGTGGTCCCCCTGCTCCTGCCGCTCTCCCTTTGCGCCCGCTCCTCCTCCTCCTCCCTCCTCCTCCTCCTCCTCCGCCTCCTCCTCCTCCCTTTCCTCCTCCCTTTCCTCCTGCGCACCCTCCTGCTCCTCCCCGAGACTCGATACCGCGGACGGTTCTGCTGCTACTGCTGCTGGTGCCCTCGATCAGCGGAGAGAACGTGGCCTCGCCCCCCCCCCCCGGCAACTCCACCAGAAGAGACGGCCGGCGAGGGCCGCCAGGGAGAGGCACGCGGGCCAGGGCTCCAAAAGTGGCCCCCAGAGCCCGAGGAAAACAAAACAGCCCCTTCCATCCTTCGGGACGGGACCAGGAAAGCACATCCTCCTCTCCTGTGCGGGTGTTGGCCCCTCGGGGCCGTGTGGACGACGCCGGTATCCGGGTACGTGGAGCAGCCGCTGCGGCAGCTGGCGTCCCCCGAGGTGTTGCCGTCGGCGTGGCCGCGTTGGGGTGGGTGGTCGTTGGGAGGTCGGGTGCGTGGGGAGTGGTGGGGCGGGGTGGGGAGGTCTTCGCATGGGTGCGTCAAGCTTGCGATCCATGAACGGAACCGGCCCGCAACACGAGCCAGCTACCCATGCGGCGGAGGGAGAAAGGGGGGGGGTCGGAGTTGACCGAGTGTTAGGCTGGGTTCGTTGCTGCGGGGTGCAGCTGTTCCCTTGCCATCCATCCTTGCGTGCGTGGGTGGGTGGTGCAATCTTGGGCGCGTCGGCGAATCGCACGCGCCGAAAAGACCTGCTGTCGGGAGACTCGCCGTCGTCGGGGGTATGGGCGCCGGGCAGGGCGTCGGTGAAGCGCACTTGTCGTGAGGAGGTGTCGTCAGGGGCGTTGTCCTCGTCCTCGTCGGGAGGGTCGTCGTCCTCGTCTTCGTCTCTCCTGGAGTCGTTTTGTTCGTCTCGGCCATGTTCAGGCTGCTGGGCAGCGTTGTCGTGGAGGCCTTCGGGCACGCTATTGTGTCAGCGGCGCGGTGGTGTTGGCCGTTGGGTGGTTGGCCAGGCCAGGCGGCGGTCTGGGCGGCGTGGAGGCTGTCAGGTTGGCCGGCGGATCGGCCGCCGGTTTCGTCTTCCAGTGGCGTCTCGTCGGCGGGTCGGCGGTCAGGGGCATCGTCGGGTTGGCCGAGGGGTCGGGGGTCGGGGGTCGGGCCGTCCGTCCTGTAGACCGTCTAGCCGTCCGTGTATGTTTGCTGGCCGCGTAGCCGAGGTTGTCCACGTAAGAAGTCGGGCGTGGGATAGTCGTCGGGCCAAACATGGCTACGGACCCTCCTCCTCCTCCTCCTCCTCCTCCTCCTCCTCCTCCTCTTCCTCCTCCTTCTCCTCCTCCTCCTCCTTCTCCCTTTCTCCTCCTCCTCCTCCTCCTCCTTCTTCCCCCTTTTCTTTTCCCCTCCTCTTCCCCGTCCTGCTCCTTTTCTCCTGCTCACCCTTCTTCTCATCCGCCGCGTCCTCGTCATCCAGTGTGCACGGCTCCTTTTTCCGATTGCGCATCACGCGATCGGGTCATTTTGGGGATCCAGGTCCGCTGAGACACCCGTCGGTGGATAGAGGACTATCAGCGCGAGAGGAAGGGATGGGCGGGAGGGGTAGGCTGTCAGATATGGCGCGCGCGCATCCAGCTTGCCCTCATCCCCTCTCCCCTCCCCTCCTCTCCCCTCACCCTTCCAGCTTTCCTTTCCCCGCCGCCCCCCCGTTCATGTTTGCCTGGGAGGGGGGCGGCCCCTACCTCTTCTTGCTCATGTCGTACGCAGAGGATGGCGACTTGCGCTTGGCGATGAAGGCGGGAACCAGACAGGGCAGAATACGTGTTCCTCCTCCTCCTCCTCATTTTCTTCGGTCGAGAAACAGGCGGGCCTCCTAACTCATCGCAGCTTTGAGGTGGGGGGTGGCTCCATGCGGTCATTGAGAAGTAAAGGGCTCCTCCAGCTTAAAGCTGGTTCCTTTTTGGAGCCAAGCAGCCTGGTAAGGCCTGGTCTGTGACAGTATCGGTAGTATCGTCGTTCAGAAAGGCTCCGTGGAGGATGAGGAGCGGGAGGGTGCTGAGCAATGAGGGGCTGAGCCAGCTCGCTTACGCAGAGCGCTCGCTCGGCTAGCCTCACTCGCGGACCGCTGGAGGAGAGGGAGGAACAATGTAACATGGATGGGGAGGCGCTTTCGAAAACCGCTGAAGGAACCGCGAAGCTCTGGCCGAATTGGCACCGGTGATCCTGGCCGGGGTGGTGCGGGCAGATGCTCTCCAAACGCATGCGGCAGGAGCGGGCAGCGACGTTCCGACGGCACCATGGGGATCTGCCAGCGACGGATGTCGGTGAGGTTCCGACGAGAAGTGTCAGTTCAGTCGTCGCGACTTCGTTTCCCGACGCCGCGCGGCGGCCAGGGGCAAAGCGCTCTCTCGGCTCTCTCGAGTCTCCCTGGGCCCTGCACGCAGAGGTGGAAGCTCGGAAGCATGTCACTCAAGTGGCCCAACATGGGGAGCCAGGGCTCCGCCTTTGCCCGAGCTCCCCGCGTCGCCAACCGGAACACGTAAATGCGGCGGTCTGGTGGTGGGCGAGAGCAGAGGATGACGAACGTGGTCCTCTCTTATTTCAATGACGTACTATCTACTTTCTTTGCCATGCTTGCTGTGCTTGGCTTCCTCCTCTCCACTATGGACGCTTCTTTACATATCCTCCCTTCCCTGCACGTGCTGAGTATGAGCAGTACTCGCGCCTCTCCCCTGACACTGTGCAGCGATGCCTGGTCTTCTCCCGCTAATCATTTCTGGACGCAGCATTTCACAAGTTGAGGTTCCATATGTGTTGCTCGATCGGAATATCTTCGATCCTTCAGGAATGGTGCTCCCGCTGCAGCGGTGGCCGCATTTCAGGATCGGTGCTCTGCGCCCCTTGTTCACCATGTTTCTCTCGCCGCAGCGCGGGCCGCATTCCTGGATCCGGACTTCCTCGTCGTTGCCATCGCTCCCCTCCGCCTTCTCCTGATGTTCCTGCTGCTCTTACTCCTGCTCCTCCACCTCCTTCCTCCGCCTGCTCAAACGAGATTATGTCGGCAGGAAGGGCGGGCCAAGAATTCAGGAGACCTCTTTGTGGGGCCAGGTCTGAATTTGAACTGACGTTTCACCTGAAACTCCACCCTCTACTAAGCCGTACACAACACCCGAATTCGATTAAAGTCTCAACCGGCGAAACACAAGTTATGACCTGAGCTCCGCCAGACTCCCCTCCTTTCAAAGTGCACAAGCCTCCCTTCCCGATTGCACGGCAGACGACGGGGCGATGGGCCAGATTCTGCCCATGTCATTCGGAGATCGAGGTCCTCTGGGACAGCACAGTCGGTGGATAGATAAAAGTTCCACGGGATGGGAAGGAATAGGTGGCTGGGATCGAATGCATATACCTTGACTCTCTACTCTCTCCTCTCCGCTCTTGGCTCCCTATTTATGCTCTGTTCCCTGCGCTCCATATTATGCACACTGCGCTTTGCTCCGCGCTTTCTACGCTTCATTACTTTTATCCATATCACGTTTTTAAAGCAAAAACAAACAAGTAATATCAACACTTGTTCTACAGACTCTTTTCGCTCTCTCTCTCTCTATATATGCCGTCGTCTCGGTAGTATCTCTGCTGTCTCGTCTCTCTCTCTATATATGCCTGCCCTCTGCTCTGGAAGCCCAGGAAACTGGCCTCTCATTAGATCTGGTGGTACGCATGGGCACAATAGTGACAGTACTGGGAACCCAGGCGCCAGAACTGGGAAGTCGGGAATTGGCCGCATCCGAAATCGGCTGTTTTTGTTCGAACAGTGCTTGCACTTATGGCTCCTTACTTGCGTCACTAAGGAATTGGATGGGTCTGGCGAAGATCCTCCACGTTGCCGCTCGTGGCCGTCTCGTGGCCGTCTCGTGCGCTGGGTGGGTCTGGCGGGATTTCGCCACGTTGCCGCCCGTGGCCGCCTCGTGGTCGCCTCGTGCGCTGGGTGGTCCGGCGAGGTCTCGCCCCTGGCCGCCCGTGGCCGCCTCGTTGCCGCCTCGTGCGCAGTGTGTGTGTGTGTGTCTGTGTGTATGTGTGTGTGTGTGTGTGTGTGTGCGTGCGTGTGTGTGTGTGTGTGTGTGTGTGTGTGTGTGTGTGTGTGTGTGTGTGTGTGTGTGTGTGTGTGCGTGCGTGCGTGCGTGTGTGTGTGTGTGTGTGTGTGTGTGTGTGCGTGTGTTGGGGTTTCGCCACGTTGTCGCCCGTGCCCGCGTCGTCGCCGCCTCGTGCACTGGGCGTGTCTGGCGAGTTTTCGCCCCTGGCCGCCCGTGGCCGCCTCGTGGCCGCCTGGTGTGCTGGGTGGTTCTGGCGAGGTTTTGCGACGTTGCCGCCTGTGGCCGCCTCATAGGCGCCTCGTGCGCTGGGTGGGCTTGGCGAGGTTTCGTGACGTTTCCACCCGTGGCCACCTCGTGGTCGCCTCGTGCGCTGGATGTGTTCGTCGAGGTTTTGCCACGTTGACGCTTATGGCCGCCTCGTGGCTGCCTCGTGGCCGCCTCGTGCGCTGGTTGTGTCCGATGAAGTTTAACCATTTTGCCGCCGCGTTGTCGCCTCGTGCGCTGGGCGGGCCCGGCGAGGTTTCCAAAAGTTGTCGCCCGTGGCCGCCTCGTGGCCGCATCTAGCTTACACCACGTATACTTCACCACATAGCTTACACCATATAGCTCGCACCACATAGCTTGCGCAACCACTCAGTAATAACGTACGGTTTGGAATCCACGCAGAGTAACACGGTTTATGATCGCCTTTTCTGTGTTGTGTACGGTGTGGCATGCCCATCTAGCACTTCTGCGCCCATAGTCTTTGGCTCAATCGGCCGTGGAGGAACCCAAAATCCATTGGGAGCGTTTCTGAATGCTTCAGCGGACCGCAGCAGGCTGGCGATGCACGCGCTGGGCGAGGCAGACACGCCTCTGATACTTCGCGGCGATGACGTCGTCCAAGGTACGGTACGGCAGGATGCCAGCGCTTGGCCCGCACGAGTGCGTCGGGCGCCCTTGTTTTCTGCTGCTTTGTTAATGGCTTGCAGCCTCACAGCGTGGGTTGCAGTTCGGAGTGGGATCCTCGGCAGATTACAGCGGCCAGTGACGCTTGATCCTCTCCAGGTAGTGAGACACGACACCTACGTTGAGCTGGACTCCTTAGGGTGGATTCGTGGCATTGGCTACCCAACCTACCGACTCTTCTTGGGAATTCAGTACGGCCAAGCTCAGCGTTGGCAGCCAGGCGAGCCCGTACAATCTTGGAGGCCCCACACGCTTTCCGCGAATCATTATGGTCCAGTTTGCCCCGCTTCATCTTATGACTTCAGTATGGAAAAAGATATGCACATGTTCTCATCAAGCTCATACCTGATACGAGAGGCCAATGCCTCGTGGCGGGTGGATGAGCAGTGCCTTTTCCTCAACGTGTACGCTCCTATGGCTAGCAACGAGTCGCGTCCTGTGCTGGTGTGGCTTCATGGTGGATCCTTTATTGCAGGTGCAGGTTCTGATGTGACCTCGAACGATGTGTCCGTGCTAGTCCTGAGAGGCATCGTCGTTGTCACCGTCAACTCTCGTTTGGGCGCGTTTGGATTTCTCATGGGCAAAGCCTTGCGTGACCCCAGCATTGGTCCTGTCGCAAACTTCGGGTTCTTAGATCAACGCCTCGCACTACAATGGGTACATAAGCACATCTCAGCCTTCGGAGGTGACCCAGCACGTGTAACAATTATGGGGTGGTCTTCGGGAGCAGCATCAATTTCAGCTCATTTGACAATGCGCAGGTCTGCCGATCTGTTCCACGCTGCCATCATGCAGTCGGGGGCTTTTGCTTCTTGGTTTTCCAATACCACATCAGCAGAGGCAGCCTTTGGCAAGCTTGCCCGGTGCCTCGGCTGCAAACCGCATTGGTCGCAGCACAAGGTCGCCACCTGTGCGCGCCAGGCCGCAACAGAGCAAGTGGTTACGTGCGAGAAAGCGTTGGGCGCGAACAGCTTCATGCCCGTAGTTGATGGCATCGAGCTCTTTTACGACAGTCCCGCCGATGCTCTGACTAGCGGCAATGTTCGGACGAATGTGCCAATTATCATTGGCAGCGCGCGCTACGACGGTCTTGTGGATCTTGGCCTCGACGCCACGAGGCCTGATCTGCACGCCTACATCTCGAGTCTCTGCTCTCCGGGCAACGCCACGCTCACCGACGCCGCCTATCGGATCTACGATCCAGGGCAGGGCGCTTCACCGACACTGGGCTGGTCGGCTTCTTACTGGAGGGCTCGGGAGATGCTGGCAGACCGTTCCTTGACCTGCATCGCGCGCCGTGTGGCCCAGCGTTGGGCCATCGATGGCAGGGCGCCTGCCTTCTGGTATCAGTGGAACTACAACGCGCCCATGGGGGACAAGGTCTTGCAAACCCTCGCCCGCAAGGACAGGGGGCTGAGCGGGCAGCCGGCGGGATCTTGCTGGCCTTGTCCCGGTGCCGGCCACGGCTCGGAGCTGCCCTTCCTGTTCAGGGACCGCTGGGCCGTCGAGGAGAGCGCGTCAGCGGACAAGAACCTGCGGGTCACAGACATCCTCGGCGCTGCCCTCCCTGTTGACCTGCTCACGGGGAGCGGCTTGGCAGATGCCATGCAGGAGCTCTGGGTCCGCTTCGTGAAGAATCACACTGCTTTCTCGACTGGGTCGGAGCTCACGGCAAGCGGCACGCCGCTGCCCGCTTGGACGCCCGTTCGCGCGGATGCCTCTGGAGTGGGCCCAGCCCTGGTTATCGAGGGTGC